GGCCTAAAGCCGCACTGATAATCTCCAATCAGCTCGTTGACGGTGGGCTTCAGTCTTTCGCATAATACGCTCGATAAGACCTTGTAACCTATGCTTAGAAGGCTAATTCCGCGGTAGTTGGCGCGTATGGCGGGGTCGCCTTTCTTGTGGATTGGGCAGAGCACACTTAAATTCCAGTCGTCGGGCATGCGTTCATCTGACCATATTCTGCATACGAGCTGATGCATGCACCTCATCAGCTCCTCGCCGCCGTACTTGAATAGCTCGGCTGGCAGGCCGTCAGCTCCAGCAGCTTTGTTGTTTTTCAGCCGCGTAATCGCTATTCGTACCTCGTCATAGTCAGGCGGTGGGACAGCTACTCCATCATCATCGACTGGGGACTCGGGTTCGTCTTCCTCACTACTTTCAGCGCTGCTACCATTCAGTAGGTTATAAAAGTGTTCCCTCCACAATTTAAGTATATTCTGGGCATCGGTCACTACGTCGCAATTGTTGTTCTTACAGGAGTTCGCCCCGGTCTTGAAACCTTCCGTAAGTCGCCTAACCCTCTGGTAGAATTTTCGGGCATTCTTCCTGTCGGCCAGCATCTCAAGCTCTTCGCACTCACGTATTTCGGCCTCTCTCTTCTTATTACGGCAAATAGGTCTCGCTTCCTTCTTCAGTTCCCTACAACGGTCCCACATGGCTCGCATTGCGCCCGATCGCAGCGTGGCCCTGTAGGCGGCATCTTTTTTCTCTGCGGCTTCTTGACATTCCTCATCGTACCAGTTGTTCCTTTGGGCTCGCTGAAATCCAACTACTTCTTCGTGCTTCATGTGCTATTTAGCTGTATAAAAACTGCAAAATGACTCAAAATTAAAATAAGACTACTATGAGATTGATATAAACATCCAATTTCAAAACAGTTTATGTTCTCATCAGTTAAATATGCTTCATATGCATATACAAATAAACATATTGCACAAAAGCTTTTAGTTCTATTTCACACCAAAGCTACACTGTTTCCATGTAAATTTGCAAAGAAGCAACACGGTTCCACTGCTAAGGGAGCGGTGCGAGAGAGACAACTGTCAGTTTATCGAACCTTGTATTATTGAATCATGGTACTTATCTACATTTGGGTATGCACTCACACAAAGCAAGAATTCGCAAAAATTTCATTGATTAGCTGCCACCGCTACACTGAGTGAAGCGCGCATCTTTGTTCTACTTATAGGGCATTCGCACGCGGCGATTTTTCAGGCAACGGCCTTTCAACTAATCGCTTTCAACAAAGTTGGTCGCCAGCCAACTNCTTATCTACATTTGGGTATGCACTCACACAAAGCAAGAATTCGCAAAAATTTCATTGATTAGCTGCCACCGCTACACTGAGTGAAGCGCGCATCTTTGTTCTACTTATAGGGCATTCGCACGCGGCGATTTTTCAGGCAACGGCCTTTCAACTAATCGCTTTCAACAAAGTTGGTCGCCAGCCAACTTTGAGCTCGTTCAACTTTTTTTCCTTGCAACCCTGTGTTTGTTTACATTCTGTATCAGTGTTGGGCAATGAAATTGTTCCTTCAGTACGAAATCTATACAAAAAATGTACTTTTCGGCTATAAATTGTATCACTTTTTAATTCGCTCATATATTTTCTTAGTACATTCCCTTCAATACCAATGATTTTATGGTATTCATGAGAAAGTTTTATTTTTTATGTACATACGTTTACGTATTTTACACTTTTACAAATTGATTCCACGTGCGCATGTACTGCGTTTAACGCAAATATGTATGCACACATTTTCAAGTATACTTCTTAACAAAAAGCATATTTAAGTTATTATTAATGGATAAAAGAGACATTTTCTTTGGATTCAGTACTAAAATTTGACCTTTTAATAGATTTCAAGTGCTTATTAAAACTTTACGACAAGATTTGACCATTTGTCTTAATATTATTAAATTTTAATTATTTTTTGTAAAAATACGGTTTATATTTTAAGAAAAGCCGTACAAATCCAAGGTTCAAACTTTGTGCAACATTAAAAAAACCAACACACTTTCTTAAAAATTTCGAGCTTTTTAATTCAATTTCCTAGATTTATTTTGAGTATGCGGTTTTTTAGCCCATTAAATTTTAATATAAGTTTTTTAAGATTTCTTTGATGAAGGTGTTGCTAATTTTCTCCATATAAAAAAATCGTCGAACACACTTCGTATGGAAGAAAATAGCTGACATCGTCGACAAAAAAAAATTGCCAAGTTCAACGGTAAGTCCCAGCTACTTTAAACTTGCACTTTATTATACTAAAATTGAATGGGCTAAAAACTAAAGAATATTAATAAAGCTTGAAATTTTTACGAAAGTATGTTGGTTTTTGGATGTTTCGCATAGATTTAATCTTGGGTTTATACAGTTTTTCTTAAAGAATACATTATATTTTATAAACAGATAGTTAAAATTAAAAAATAATAAAATAAATAGTAAAATCTTGTTAATATGTCAGTGCCGTAAAGGTATTAAATTTAAGAAAATCTCTTCTTATAACTAACGAAGACTTTGTTGCTATATGAAGCTGACTTCGACATTTTGTTTTAATAAAACTTAGTATCGAAAAGCTTCTTTAAAAATTTGCCTAGGCTATACTATACTGGTTCGTTCAAGCCATTTTTCAAAACTTACAAAGGTAAATATGAACAGGCGAACATAAGAGAATACAAAAAATTTCTTGCTGTGAATTTTCAGAGCTATATATTTTTAGTATTCATTACAAAATTGTATTAAAAAGTACTTCGTAGTAGGAAAGTATATTGTAAATGAAATTGTATCAAACAAGTACAATTGTACCAAAAAATGCCAACACTGTTCTGTATACATACTTTTTTTTCTTTTTTACTTTTTTACTCTTATTTTATCTTTCAGCTTCGCTAAAAGCACTTCTACCAACGCTTGGCTTACCAAATTTACGCCAATTGATAAAATTTTGCGATTTAAATTCATTTTCAATAATGTAAATAACGATTCGTGATGAATCGAAAATCGCCTCGTCTGAATAGGGATGGCAACTTTTTCACTTTCAACTTCTCATTCAACTTCGTATTCAACTTTTGTTGCCTGTAAAATCGCCTCGTGTGAATGCCCTATTAGGAATGTTCGATATTTAAGAAAGTATCGATATCTTGAGTCGATTTAATTCATGCATGTAAACTCGATATGGCGATATATCGAGGTGAACAATATCGATATCGGAAAAATCGATGTAGAAAATCCTACTCAGATTGAATAGAATATTAGACCTGGTTATCAACTCAACTAATTGTGTTATTTCCATCTTGTATATTTACTGAGGATTAAAACGGCATGCTGGTCGACTCAAGCGGTTTGTCAAACCTAAGAGCTAAATAAATCACACAAGCTGTTTATTAAACCAACTTTAGTATTTTTCCATACACTTCGATGAAAAATAAATTTCAACTTAAATATCGATATTGCGGGTAAAGTATCGATGTCTTCGATATATCGACCTTAGAATATCGATTCAAAAAACCGATTATCGTGCGATGAAACATCGATATTCAGAAAAATCGATACGATATTGAACATTCCTAGTTCTACTTCAGTTTGGTTCTTCTTCAGTTTTATTCTGTTGTTCTTTTGCCTGTCGTGCAGCATTCGTTCGCATGACAAAACCTTTCGTCAGTGTAGCAGTTGATTTGTTATACGTGTGAAGGGAAGATACAGTGCTTGAAATAAGAGCTAATGGCTGGCAGTGCTTGTGCAGCTGTTAGTATGTACACATATAAGTATATGGGGTATTTCATCGTCACGGGTGGGCCATTTTTACAGCAAAAAATATTTTTTCTTTTTATTAATTCTAGAATTAATGGGTCGTATGAATAAGAACTAAACAATTGCAATTTTTTTCTAATTTCAAGAGAATATAACGAGAAAGCTGCTTTATTACTTCACCTGTTTTTAATTTCACCGTGGGATTTGCTTTTTGTATTCGCTTAATTTAATTTTTATAATCTTAAAAAAAACACATTTGAAATACTGTGAGCAATAGCCTAGTAAAACTTAATCCAAGATGGCGGAATATTGCCAAATGAAATCTAGGGGCAAGACTGTGGATCCATGATCTACGTGTCAAATAGAAGTAAATTGCATCAAAAAATCGCTGTTGCATTTTTTTTTTAATTTTCCTACCAAATTTATCTAATTTTACTGGGCTAGTACCTATTGACTAACCAACAATTAACAGAAATTTTATTATTATTTTTTTTCTTGTTTTTCTTGTGGATCTTTTTAGCATATAGAATTTACATGTGGCTCTTTTCGGCCTCGGCCTTACCCACCCCTGGTATATACTAATGTACATTTTGAAAGCCGTTTTTTTTTTGTTCGCAAAGCCTGAGAACGGAAGTGTTCAAGTGTGGTGTGATATATGAAATCAATCTTATACTCATGGAGAAAAATGTGTTATTTGATAAGAGGGCGTGGCGCCGTACAAACGTATATATAATTCTTCTGTAGGCGTGTTTGTGAGTGAAATCCTAAATTCCGGGACGGATTTTAACTAAGTTTTTTGTGTGTTTTTGAGTGGCTCTCTGGAGTTTCTCAATTTCACCTGCCAGTTGGCGCAGTAGTTGAGTTATTACTAAAAATCTTATTTATGATCCAATTTGGCTAATATTCAAAATGTGTATTGGTAACGGTAAAGGCAATACTATTGCAAAAAAGAGCTTCCTGGTGGCGCTGGAGTAATTACGAATAATCGCCAAGTTAGAAAAGGCGCCACGAATGTCTGATTAAATCGACCTGTTGCACCATTGAGTATATCTAGCTCTTGTGTGTTACGATTGGCCCAATGGATGTAATTTGCCAGTATTATTATGCATTAAAGCTTCATTCGGAGACACCAGGGTTGAGTTGTGCAGGGGTAAATCTCAAATCACTACCGATAAATGAACTGCCAGATCCATTTCGCGCCTTTTACTGTAATAAATTCAAGTAACAAAAATAAGTTTTCACTTAAATTGCTATCGTGAAAGTTATGTTGGATTTCCACTAGGCATTAAATGGCAAAAATGACAAATGACAAAGTCAGGCATTAGAAGAAAATTGTGTCATTACATTAAAAAAATTATCATTAAATTCATTTCCACATGGCATTTTTTTAAATGGCATACATTTTTTGTCATTTCAATGCCTAGTGGAAATTCGGCATTACTTTTAAGGTATTTTGTCTGAAATAAGTCTACATACATATATTGGATTTCTTTAAAATAATTATACGCATCCATTTTGAAATTGCCACCAACTATATTATAAAGCATGATACAATAATTTTTAGAAGGTAGTTTCACTTCAAAATTTTTGACATAAACCGTGTCTGTGACAAACACGAAATGTGGCCACTGCTACGATATAGAACTTGGGGATTATCGCTTGTTATTTTAGATATTTTTTAACAGAATATGTAAAGATTTATATGTTTCATAACTGATCACTTAATTTTTAATATAAATATACTTATTTTATACATACATTTTTGCCACTGCTAATCACATGAATAAAAATCATAAAAATGAAAATATAACAGCAATATTTCTTGTTTATAATGGATTAGATCCATCGCACACCACGGACTTTATCGGCCGCCAATTTAGATGTGCTCGCTAGTCTTTCCATTGCACCACAACTTATTGGTCAGAGCGATTAAGCTGGTGTAATGTGCGCACCTCCATACATCTTTATGTACATATTTCAAGCGAGCCCTATCACTTAAATAGGCGGCCGATAAAGTCTGTGGTGTGCGGTGGCTCTTATAGCTGTGTCCTTACATCTATTCCGTGTGTTGCAATATCCACGAAAGCAGCAGTTAATTTTTTATGAAGAAAATTATTACAAAATATTCGAAAACTTCTCTACTTATATGTTTGGCTTTTCTTTGTTTTATTTTTCCAACGTCAAAAGCTGGATTTTTTTTTTGAAAAAGTTGGTACAACAAAAAATACGAAACACGTTTTCTGTCAGATAGCTAACATGGCGGATAAGAAGAAGAAGTGAAACTACCTTCTAAAAATTATTGTATCATGCTATAAAGTTTCTGGAATAGATTCAGTATAGAACCGGAAAGAGAAGAAGAAATGTTGCTGAAAGTAGGGATAAATCGATACAAGTAAAGCCAAGTACATACTCGATACTTTTCTCAATTTACCAAGTATTTTTGTACTCGATACTTTTTACTGCGATCCAAGTAGGTATCGAAAAAAAAGTACTTGTATCGGAAGCGCAAAACTTTTATTGCTTCAGCAACCCTATTACTGGCGCCTATATTTTCTGAAAATAAGTTTTAAGCGAAGTTGGTACATATTTATATTTAAAATATAATCGTATATTTTATAAAAGGTTATTATCAAAAGTAAAATAGTTGATTTGCAAGTATTTTTAGTAATGCGTAGTGGGTTATTTGTAAAATGCTTATTATTTAGATGGCGCCCGCTTCGGGAGTTTGGAAGTTTTTCTCCAAGAAAGACGACTCTTTGGCATCATGTAAACGTTGCCACAACACTATTTCATATTGTGGCAACACATCGAATTTGCATAATACTATGTCTCCATTGTGAGATTTAATGAAGATTTAGCCCTCTGACGAGATTTGACGTTAAATCTTTTGAGATTTATCATATAAAATTAAATCTCGAAAGGCAGTAGATTTAAGTTAAATCTTCGTCAAATCTTCAATAATATTGATCAATAAGTACAATTTGTTGGATGTGGCAACCACAAATTCACATGCCATAAGTCAAATGACATTTGTGTTTTCAATATACAGTTGAGGACATTGAAATCTAGCCTATCATAAAAACATGAATTTTCGTATTTTTAGGGATTTTTATATTTTTTTGTTAGTTTGGGAGGAAAATTAGTAATACATATTTACATAACTTTGGTTGTAATAAATTAAGAAAATATTATTTTAAAAACTAAAAATTTAGAAGAAATGTTTTATAGTAATATCATGCAGAGTCTTCTCCGCTTTCTATAAGTCATTTACGCGCTGCGACAAAAAATTTATAAATTTCGGTAATGGTTCTGCTTCGATAACATTGCACCGAACATCCTCTAGAACTCAGTTCGTATTCATGATATGCCAAAGGCCCACGATTGGATTCTCGGTTCCCTCCTATGAATAAGAGAGTTCTATAAAAAATTTTCTTTCCGCAAATTTTTTTTTACCGTTTTGATAATTTTTCTTAAATTCGGGAAAATGATTCGGAATATGGTACCATTCTTTACACTTTCCAAACTATATATTATACATACATATTTACCACAAATAAGAAGCCAATAATATTCAGAATTCATATAATGAAATTGCGCTTGGTACCTTCCTTTTATCTGTCTGTATATCAATGTCCGCAACTGTATTTGTAAAATCATACATAAGCATCGGCGTAGCCAGAATGAAATTTAGGGGGGGCCTCGACCCTATTAAGCTGGCATTTCAGGGTACTATTTAAATATTTAAAGTTAGGGGGGGGATTTATTAAATCTTAATGGATAAATCTCTCAATGGAGACATAGTATAAGCATTTGAAATCACACAATATTATTGTAGAAAAGTGTAATAAGCTATCTAGTAAGTATCATTGTTTTGTGATATGTACTAAATGAACTTTTATGGTACGTTCACATGCTGCAACTTCTGTAACTATGTAAAGTAAAATAAATTTTATATGTAGTAATACTTTGTTAACCAGTATAAAACAACTAAAAAGGTGATGAAATAACTATTCTATGCTGAGCGACAGTTTGTACTCAATGCAATTATAGTGAAACTGTAAATAAATATTTATGTAATAAAATTGTTTAGAATTGAATAATATTAAATAAAATGTTGGTTTGGTTGTTTTGAATTTCCGAAAACAAAGTGCAAAACTAATTTTAAAATACCATATAATTACAGGCGCAAAATGAAGGAAGGGGACGATGATGGTGCCAAACGAAGCGATGATATAAGGAATGAAAGAGACGCTAACACTATAAAAGTTGCTTTCGAAAATATTGAGTTTCATAAAGGTATATCCATTATATACATATGTAGTCCTAACGCTAATTAACTTTAACATAATTTCTTTTTAGACAGCGGCGCGAAAAACAACAAAATAACTAAGTGCATTTGATTCTTCATTTGTAAAGGCATGAGACCCTTTCATGTCGTGGAAGGAGAAGGGTTTCTAAAACTGATGAAAGAGGTAGCCCCTCTGAACACAGTGCCATCTAGCGATATTTTAAAGAAAAAACTTTGCGAAAAATATTTCATCTCGGCGGAAATGTTCAAACAAAGGATTCAAAAGCCACCTACTGTATGCCTAACTTTAGATATTTGGGCGGAAACCATGGCAGAACGGTCATTTCTTGGTGTAACCGTTCATTTTTTTTTTAGAAAACAGTACATTTGTAACTTGTGCTATTGGTACTAGACAGTTATCTCAGCGTCACACGGCCGATTATATAAATGAAACTTTTAAAACAATTCTTAATGAATGGGACATAGAAATTTCCAAAGTCAGATGCATTGTAACAGACAATGGCCAAAATATGGTCGCAGCTGTAAGAATGGTTGCCTCACAAAAGCACCATCTACCCTGCTTTCCTCATACTATTAATCTCGTAGTTCAGGCTGGTTTAAAAAATCCTTCAATCGAGAGTGTGCTCAACAAAGTTAGAAAAGTAGTTATATGGGTAAAAAATAGTGTAGTCAACTCTGACAAACTACGCAAAATCCAGATAGAACAAGGTATTCCTGAAGGATGCGTAAAAAAATTGATACTCGATGTATGCACGCGCTGGAACTCGGTATTTTACATGGTGGAACGCTTTTAGAGATGCAAAAAGTTGTTTGGAATTACTGCTAGAGAGCTCTATAAGTCCAAATATGGCAACTGGTCAGGAAATAGAAATTTTGAAACAATTAATTATCTCCTACAGCCGTTTGAATATTTGACCAGAGAGGCATCTGGTGAAAACTATTTAACTTTATCAAAAGTTAGTCCAATGATAAACTGTGTAAGTACGACGCTGCGAAAATTTACATCATCACATACAGAAATAACAAGCGTTGCAGAAATTTTTCGATCTGAGCTGAGCTGCAGATTCGGTAAAATTGAATACAACTCGCATGCAGCTTTAAGCACTCTCCTGGATCCAGGTTTAAGAACATAAATTTTCAAGATTCGCTTGCATGTGGTTAAGCTATCCTAAAATTGCGGAATCTCATTAAAGAAGATACCTTAAATTCATCCAGCGAATTTGAAGTAGAAGTCAGTTCTGCAAAACAATTTGATTTTTGGCAACATCATCGAGAGTTGGTTATAGGACTAAAAAAGCGCAAAAATTGTCTTATCTTCGGGAGACGAAGTGACTCTTTATCTTTCCTCACCCACATCGTCTTTGAAAAGCAACCCATTAGAGGAATGGGAAGATATGCGCACTACAATTCCGCAGCTATATAAGCAAGTCCGTCTATACTTATAGGTTGTTGGGTCATCTGTCCCCTGCGAGAGACTTTTCTCCAAAACAGGTAAAACTATTTCAAAATCTCGAAACCGCCTTTCAGGAAAACACTTGGAAAAGTTGATGTTTTTGGGAAATATAACAAAAAAGGAGTTCTTTTCTTAAATTTATTTTATATAAAAAACTTTATTTAGGTATAAGTGTTTGAAAAATGTATTTAATTGTCTATTAAATACTACACAAAAATAGTTCTCGTTTAAAATGTGTGTATGAAAAACTTTTAAAAGATAAATAATCTTGTAAAAATGCAAATTTTTGTGAAATGAAAATACAATAACTTTGAAAAATATGCAAAATTGTAGTTCTATGTAGAAGTATTCGATACCTTTCCGATACTGAGTAGGTATCGACACTTCGATTGATACAAGTACAAGTATTGATTGGAGTAATACCTTGATGGTATCGATTTGTCCCTAGCTGAAAGTCACCCGCCGCGCTGCTAGCGCCCTCACCGTTGCTCCGCTGTAGTTGAGAGTCACCCACCGCGCTGCTAGCGCTCTCACCGTTGCTTCGCCATTCCTGACTGCACGTCTATACCTGCGCTATGGCGCTCGTATACGAACTGTCAGCTTTATCGCATGCGAAATCTTATCGCAGGGAAATTTTTGTACGTGGGCATTTGATCGCATACCATTGCAGTGCCAATTTGTTGTAAGTTTTTTATAAATGTTGCGAAAATTTTATTTAATTTATTTCGTTTTGTCTGAACAACGTTTCTCCGAATAACACCGCTTCTTTCCTACTCGGAATCAAAGCAAATACGAAAAAGCAGTGGCTAAACGCATAGTTAGGTATGCGATAAATGGTATGAGAGTAAGAGATATCTCATACCATTTATCGCATATTCTCTGCGATGAACGGTCTACATCTGCGATATATCTCTTACGATGTTTCGTATGCGAGCGCCCATAGCTGGCATAGACGTGCAGTGAGAGCCACCCGCCGTGCTCTCCCCACTTGGCTCTTCAGTACTCATCGTCATCCGCTCCGGCTCGACCGCTTGACGTCAACTAACGTCACTATACTCTCTCCCTCTCCCTCTCTTTGGACATAAGGTTGCTAGCACTCTAGTCATAGNTTTAAATACTACACAAAAATAATTCTCGTTTGAAATGTGTGTATGAAAAACTTTTAAAAGATAAATAATCTTGTAAAAATGCAAATTTTTGTGAAATGAAAATACAATAACTTTGAAAAATATGCAAAATTGTAGTTCTATGTAGAAGTATTCGATACCTTTCCGATACTGAGTAGGTATCGACACTTCGATTGATACAAGTACAAGTATTGATTGGAGTAATACCTTGATGGTATCGATTTTTCCCTAGCTGAAAGTCACCCGCCGCGCTGCTAGCGCCCTCACCGTTGCTCCGCTGTAGTTGAGAGTCACCCACCGCGCTGCTAGCGCTCTCACCGTTGCTTCGCCATTCCTGACTGCACGTCTATACCTGCGCTATGGCGCTCGTATACGAACTGTCAGCTTTATCGCATGCGAAATCTTATCGCAGGGAAATTTTTGTACGTGGGCATTTGATCGCATACCATTGCAGTGCCAATTTGTTGTAAGTTTTTTATAAATGTTGCGAAAATTTTATTTAATTTATTTCGTTTTGTCTGAACAACGTTTCTCCGAATAACACCGCTTCTTTCCTACTCGGAATCAAAGCAAATACGAAAAAGCAGTGGCTAAACGCATAGTTAGGTATGCGATAAATGGTATGAGAGTAAGAGATATCTCATACCATTTATCGCATATTCTCTGCGATGAACGGTCTACATCTGCGATATATCTCTTACGATGTTTCGTATGCGAGCGCCCATAGCTGGCATAGACGTGCAGTGAGAGCCACCCGCCGTGCTCTCCCCACTTGGCTCTTCAGTACTCATCGTCATCCGCTCCGGCTCGACCGCTTGACGTCAACTAACGTCACTATACTCTCTCCCTCTCCCTCTCTTTGGACATAAGGTTGCTAGCACTCTAGTCATAGCGCTGCATGTGTGTGTGTGTGTGTGTTCGAAGTAAATACACGAGAATAGTGTGTTTTATTTGGTGGAGGTTAGTGGGACCTTCGCTAGAGTCTGGATCGGCTGAACTTACCTCAGCTTTCGACCAAACCCAACTCATAATAGTAAGGCATAGAACATCTACTCCGTCATCATCGACGGGGGGATGGGGTTCGTCTCTTCCACAACTTTAAGTGATGCTAAAATTCTGTGGGGTGGAAAAGTGTACCCTCCAATTTATTTATTTATTTTTATTTATTTATTTTTATTTGTTTCTTTTTATTTATTTTTTAAGTATGTATCTGACATCGGTCACTAGGTCCCTATGGTTGTTCTTACAGGAGTTCGCCCTGGTTTTGAAACCTTTCCTAAATTGCCTAACTNGTCTTTACATACATATTTGTGAAAAATACAGTTAAGAAATGATAGCGACCTAGTGGCTGAAAAGTCCCAAAATTTAGTGGGAGGAATCTTTGCACATATTTATAACATACATTTTCATTCGTATCACTGGGACACTCCTCGCATATAAAAGTCCCATTTTAAAGCGTTAATAAATGACAGCACCATTGAAGAAATATGCAATAAAATTTAAGGACGGCACCTTAAATCAAGGGTGGACAGGAGATAATAGTTTCTCCAACATTAATTCATAATTTTATTTTATTTTATGCGCGAAGTTTACCGGACATTTATTGGCGAACTCACGAAATTTATTCTGCAATCCGACGTTGGAAGAATGTCTGCAATCCTATCGATTTTACGCGGTGTGATGCTCCCAGGGATCTGCATTGGATTCAGATTGGAAATCAATCATTTTCTATATTCCCCTTGAAAATTTCCAAAAAGTTTTGATGGGAAGTTACAAAATGGCGTTGCAAGTAATATTTCGTCACTCGCTTAATTATTACAAAGCACAACATACACTAGGTACGCTTTGCACTCAAAATTGAAAAAAATATCTCGCGCTTCCACACTTTAATGAACGCCATGTTTTTTTCAATAAATTTTGTTTTCATTTTCAGTAAATATGAATGTTAAATCAATTTATAATATAATTTTTTTTCGGTGCTGACATATTTTGTATTATTTTTTCATTCTATAATTGTTTGTGTAAATTTGTGCATTTTCTGGAGTGCCTTACGCTGACGACACACAATCAGTTTTGCCTTTCAATTTCCCCACACACATCGCTTGCCAAAAATCATCAAAATTCAATTCAATTTGAGAAGCAATTTAATTATCAACATGTCGTCTTCAAGAAAACAATGTAACTAACTAGCTTCTGAAGACCATTTTCCATTTTTAGTTCCATTGTAGATTAACATTTTAGCATGCAGAAACTTAGTATTTTTTTATTTTCACAAAATTGAAAACAAAATTAAAACTCAATTGAAAGGGAAAAATTGAAAGCAAGTGGCCCATTCAAGTAATAAATAAGAGTGTGTTAGTGAAAAAGTGTAAGTGTATTGAAAATTGAAAGGGGAAAATTGAATGTGTAACGTCCCGGTTAGCTTCATATGCGAGGGCGTTCAAGAATGATAGAATACAAGATTGCGCCGTCCTGGCCGTTGAGATTTGTGTACCACAAGTAAACAAAGAATAAGCGAAAAGAATAACGAGTTGAAACTGCCAAAACAGTTCAATTTACAGCGAAAAGCGTGTTTTAATTTTGCTAAATGCGAAAATATTGCATTTTTCACCTAATCTTTTAGAGAACAGTGATTATTTTAGTGCACTCCATTGCTTTGCAATTGAGGCTGCTTCCGCAAACGTTTTAGTGCACTCCATTGCTTTGCAATTAAGGCTGCTGCAGAAAACTGCGGCAGCATCTCAGCGGGATTGATTGGTTAACTTGCTAATGGAGGCTGCTTGGAGCAGAAGCAAAATCATTCTGAGGAAATGCTGTTAATATAATAATAGAGAGACATTTCGGAAACGACTTTGCCGTGCCCTATGTATACAAAATGCAGCGATTGGTCCCAGCGGTACACTTGCATCTACGCTTCTTGCATCTTGACGGCTGTCGCAATTTAACACACAGCACTCCATTGTATTAGTTTTTACGCAGTCTTCAACTCAAATCACTCACAAATTGCAAATTAACACAATTTAAACAGATTTTTCACTTATAATTAAAATTTCTCTTTCGCTGATTTGTAAACAAAGGTTTATTTACAAGTTACCACAACTGTCAACATCGGCAAAACCCAAGTAGCGGTATCACTGACGGCGCCACCCTTGTTCGCTGCACCGTGGAGGGCATTTGCTTTGCCCTTCCATATGAAACTCAGGCACTTTCATATGAATTGTGTTTATATGTCAGGGCATACGGGAGGGCGATACATTTTTTTTTTATCTTTAAAGTGTAAATTTGTATATGTGCCTATACTTCAGCGCAAAACAAAAACAAATGTGCTACAAGTGCTTATGGAGTGAGCAGCTCTGCAATAGATTATTATACATCATTTTA